GACCATCAGGCCATATGTGTACCGGGAACCGTCTGCTTACCTGGCCCCTAATCGCATCCCCTCTAGCTACGGTCTGGATCTTGGAGGGAAATGAAGCTTAGGGGTACAGCAGGAGTTAGAGCACCTGCTGGAGTCTTAAAATCCCTTTACTTTCCCTTCCAGCTCTAGGACCACGGGCCACCATAAATTCATCCTTCTGTCTTTTCCGGCATTGCCTTTGGCAACCGGGCCTACTATCTTCTCCCTCTCCGGTCCCCGGTTCAACATCCTGTAAGCTGCCAAATTGCAATCATTATAGCCAAAGCAATGTAGCAATTGGGCGGTCCAGCCAGCTCTTGGCTGAGACTGGAGAGAAGAAGCTCGTTAGGAAGGTTTTTGCATCAGCCCAGGGAGCTGTGCCTGTGAGATCCCTCCCTGGTATTGGATGCCGCTCCCTTTACAGTCCCGTGACGAGCACCGCAAGATGACTCGGAGGATCTGACTGTGAAGATCACTCTTAAATACAGGAAGAAAAAAAAAAAAAGCTGCAGCTGGTATGATAAGATTGGTGTGTCCGAAGCCATCCACACAGTACATAGCGGCCTCCCCAGGTTGCCGCTGCTGCTTCTTGGTGCTTCTAGTCCTGAGAGCGGAGCAAAGCACTGAACCATAGTGACTTTAGGATTTCAGCTGCAGTGATGTTAGATTGTCTTGCAAATATGGAATCATCTCCTGGTTTGCACTGACCATCAGGAGATTATGACTTCGGGTTTACATCATTATGGTCTGAGTAGGAGAGACCTCTCCTTTTCCTTTAGTCACCTTATTGGTAAAATGACTTAGCCTTTAGCAGGAGAAAAATGGATTCCTAAAATATAGAGATGCTTCTGCGTGGATCAAAAGAAAAGCATGGCTTGAGGTCTCCAGAAGTTTGGTAGTGGTCTCACAATTCTTTGATATGTGCTATTATGGTTTTGAAATCTAAGCTTAATTTTTAAAAATCCAAGAAAACGCACACACACACACACACACACACACACACACACACACAGAAAGAGAGAGAGAGAGAGAGAGAGAGAGAGAGGGGGCAGAGGTCCTGTAATCCCAGCTCTTGGGGGGGGGCTGAGTTAGGAAAATACAGAATTCAAGGCCAACCTCAGCTACTAACCTAGGCTATATGTTTCCAAAAGCAAAATATAAATTTAAAAAGAAAGGAAAAACATCATGTCAAGTCCAAGTTGTTATAAGATAGCTGAGATTTGGGGAGGGGAGAGTTAGCATCTTGGAGGTCAGAGTGGAACAGGGCAGTGTCTGAGCTGTATTGTCCTGGGTGGGCAGGGGTCACATGATTCAACCCTGTTCTGAGAATGGCTGATGAATCTAAAGCCCCACATAAGTGATAGATATAATGGTTCTGCTATTTTGCCCCAATTCAGAATGACCCCACTGCAGGGATGAAGACATGCATAGTGATGTTAGAGAAAGTTCGGGAAATCACTTGGGAGAAGTACTTTGCAGTTTGCTTAACAAAGTGTCCAAATCTTGAGTGCAGTTTCTGCAGAAAATCTTCACTGAGCTCCAGGTACTGTTTCCCCTCTTTTAACCCCTTTTGTGTCCATGAACTCTTAGCTTTGTAGAGGAATAAAGTAAGCCTTGATTTCTTTTCTCTTAGGCAAAGGTATAACTGAGTGTGTGTTTGAAGTGGTGACTATTGCTGAAGAAGTGTTCCTCAGCCTTTCAAAAGCATGGCAGATAATGTTACTATCTTCACTAGCTCCTCTGGGATTACATGAAGTCTCACATGCTAACTATAGTTTGTCACTACAGTGGATGTCTGAATAGAGCAAGGAGTTCCATCTTCCATGGTTGGGGGGCCGCTCCTAATTTAAAGATTATTCATCATTCTTTTTCATTACCAGGCATTGACTGATTCATCTGAGTCTTGTCTTCACAGAGAAATTAAAATTAAGATTCTCTTCATCTGTGTTATCCAGCGTGGTACCCGGCAGCCCTGTGTGGTCATTTAAATTTAATCAAATACAGTTAAGTTATGATTGTTCCGTCTATATGTCATACTTCAAGTTCTAAGCATCCAACTAAAGCTTGTGGTTGCTGTTTGGATAGCACAGGCCACAGCATTATAGGAAATTCCTTATTATAGGAAATTCTTCTGGAATTCTTGTCAAATTTCAATTGGTAGATAAGAGTTGCATAAAAGGATTGAGGTAATCTGAGTACCCCTAGATCAAATACCATTAGAATATATAGTGAAGACCATGAGAATCCTAAAGAATGCACAGTTAGCCTTTGGACTACAGCTTCGACATGTGCTGGCCTTGGACAAATGATTAACTCTGGTGCTTTTGTCTCCAAAGAGGGGATGGTCAGAGCAACATAGTCATAGGGTAAATATAAGGAATGGGATCACCATGAAGGGTACGTGGAGTTATGTAATCAACACACATCAGCTGTCACTGGAGCAAGCATGTGTTACTGTAATAAAGGTTTTCTTTTCAAACCCTGTATCCCCAGACTGGACACTGTGGCCAATTTCTGTAAACCCAAAATTTAAGGAGGTAGAGGCCGGGGGGGGGGGGGTTGTCAGCTCTAGGCAAGCCTACTATGCATAATAAAATCCTATCTCTAATTAATAAGGTTAATTAATTAGTAAAATTTAATTTATTAATTAAAATACACTGGTCTCCATAGTGCCTCTCATTGTATCTGGCTAGCAGAAAGTGCTTGGAAAGTGATGAACTGTGTGCGGGGGCAAGAGCCTGGGATAAATATAAAGACTGCCTCTTCTTTCTCTGATAAATGGGAGAAGTGACAGTGCAGCAATTTAAGTGCACTTGTCATGTCCCTTTTTCTGTGACCAATAATCTTTATATATTGAGACTTTTAAGTAAATAGAGGATCAGGGAGCTCTTTGAGCCTAAAAGGGAGGAGGGAGGAGGGAGTCACTTCACTTGTTCTGCCCTACAGACAGACAGGCACGAATACCACAAATGAATGAGAAATTAATTAGGCTCAGATAGGCTCACTGAAATGTTGACATGGATCTATATTTCTGTGCAAAGGTGTTTGAGCTGAAATTCATGCACTGGATGAAAAGCTGAGGTTACTGCCACCAAGAAAGCTCTCTCTTGGAGTGATAGGATTTAGAACTATCCTCCTATATCTAGCTCAGGGAGAGATGCATGCTTACATGTGCTCTCACCCTGGACTTGAGCTGGTTGACACAGGCTGTAAGTGACATCAATGACAACTGTGAACATCTGTAGGTGGCCCTCTTCTTCTAAAGAGGTCAAAGAAAACAGAATTAGCAGGGTTGAAGGCAGCAGCTCATTTTCACAAGCTGGGATCATTGGTCTACCCAATAGACTCTATTGGGTCACGAAGATGCCATGTTGATTTTGAGAAAACTTAAGAGAAGTCAGATGTGGCACCATATACCTGTAATCCCAGCACTGGGGAACCTGAGGCAGTAAGATGCCAAGGGTCCATAGGCTTGGTCATATTGTTTGTGCATGCTCAATTTTATAAGAAACTACCAAACTATTTTCCATGGCTCTGTATCATTTTATAGTCTTATCAATATGTATATGTTATGAAAGATAGATGTGAATCTATTGAATAAATGTATTAAAATAGGTGATATCTTTTTTTTGCTATAATTTTTTGCTGTAATTTCTTGGCTACTTAACTGCCACCTCAAGTTGAGCTATAATATTGGCAATCCAGGGCTGGAGAGATGGCTCAGCAGTTGAGAATACTTCTTGCTCTTCCAAAGGACCTGAGTTTGGTTCCCAGCATCCAAATGAAATGAATAATCAGAGGAAGGGAGGTCTTTACAAAAGGATAGTGAAACTAAGTGGTCACAGTTTTGCAAACACAACAGCAAATAATTGATTCAGGACAGTATCATCCACAAGCTGAAAACACAGGCATCACAGTCTCAAACGGTCAATTCCCCTAGCTGTAGTTGCTGTTCCAATATTTATTAATGACATCTGTAATTACAACACACAGTTATGTCAGACACCCTCACCAAGTGATTAAGCTTACCATTTACACTTCTCTTAGTGCTTTAAAAATTACCAAAAGAGTAGTGTCCTAAACATCACATTTGTTATAACGCTGTAATTGAGGAGCCCAGTGCAGATCCCACTGGATAGACTAAGGTGTTAGCAAGCCTGATTTCTTTCTGAACAAAGGCTTGAGGAACAGTCTTCCTGTCTTTGCCCACTCCTCAGGACACCTGCCTTCTTCTTTGGCTCCTGGTGCCCGAGCACAAGCTTACTGAAGCCAGCAATCCTAGCTGAGTCTTTCACTTTTCACACCACTCTGGCACTCCCCTCCCTCTTTCACTAGGAGAGACAATTCAGGATTGGGGCTCTCCCAAGTGATCCAGCATCACAAGATGTAAAGTTATTTTGCTTTGTAAGGTAGTGTCCTAGTTAGGGTTACTATTACTGTGATGAAACACCATGACCAAAAACAAGTTGGGGAGGAAAGGGTTTATTTGGCTTAGACTTCCCACCACAGCCCATCATTGAAGGAAGTCAAGGCAGGAACTCAAACAGGTCAGAAGCCTGTCCCGGGGCTGGGACAGGCTGCTGTTTATTGGCTTACTCCTCACTGATTGCTCAACCTGCTTTATAGAACTCAGGACCAGCAGCTCAGGAGTATGCTACTCACCATGTGCTGGACCTTATCACGGCAACCCCTAATTAAGAAAATACCCTACAGGCCTGCCCATAGCCTGATCTTATGGAGGCTGTTTCTCAGTTAAAGTTTCCTCCTCTTCAACTACTATACCCTGTGTCAAGGTGACATAAACCTTGTGGTACAGGTGGCATGCTCTGGGGACATGTACGGACGAGGCATTATTATGCTGGTATGTATAACCTCACCAGGAATGAGAGGAGCTGGCACGGTATGCATTCTGATAAAAAGCACTAAAGCAAATGTATCATTTATGATTGTTTTCCTGACAAAAGAAATATCTAGTTTGAGAGACTTTCCAAAATAACTGTCCTCCATTATTTAAATAAAATTAATGTTAAAAGAAAATTGAAACATGCAGACTAAAGAAATGAGACTTAGTTGGGTCCTGAATTTAAAAAAAAGCATAAAAGATATATTAGCACAATTGAACCTTCTAGTTATTGATCCTATAATAAAAGTATTATACTGAATTCAATTTTATTGCTAGTGCTTATGAGATTATAAATGATAAAATATTTATTCTGACATTGCAATAACCTCACTGGCTCAGGAAAAAGGTAAACATAACAAAATATTAGCAGCCAGTGAATTTAGGTTATTACTGTAAGATAACATTATGAAAGTTACATACAGAACTTAAAATATTTGCATAGCTACATTAAAATAGTAAAAAAACAAAATGTTGGGTACTCAATAGAACCGATATTATCATTTTAAAAGGATCAATGTTTTAAAAGTATTGAGATTTTATTTCTTTAAGGATAGAAAAGTCAAGATGAATTCAACATGC